ATGGAGCGATAAACGGAGTCAAGCAGAGAGGAGGAGAAAGAAGGGACGGAATTAGAGTGGGAGAGCTCTGTGTCTCTCCTTCGGACGAAACCGGCATAGTAGGCGTCCATGTCTATATAGGAAGCAGAGCAGAGTGGGGAACTGATGATGAATGATTGACGGGAACGGAGAGTAAATATAAAAAATTGAAAAAAAAAAGGGAAAACAAAAAAACTGCAAGTTAAAGACAGGTAGGGGAAGGAAAAGGGGGGGAAATGATGGAGAATAAAACAGGGGAAGATGGGAATGGAATAAGGAAGGAGGAGACAGGAGGCATCATTGTGGCAGAAATGGTGGGTTCAATTCCTTCATTTCTCTTGCTCCGCCGCAGAGCTGCCGGGTTTAATGGCAGCAGCTAAATTACAGTTCCAGCACGCCGGTTAAGATTAAGNTGTGGCATGGCCCCCGCCGCTTAACTTTAACCTTGTTTTAAGCATCTCCCAGTTGCTTCATAACGGTGCATTTGGTCTAATCTCTCCTCGGGATTATCAAAATCTCAACCTTCTTTTTATTATCGTGCATCTCTCATAAACAGAGCACTCCAAAATATATTTGAAAAAAATTTAAAAATATAGGAAATAATTTTATGACTAAAATAGGAAATTATATAGTGATTGTTACACAATATCATTGCAACAGTATCATCCGCCGCCGCATGCTACGTACCAGAATGCCGCCGCAAACCACCAAACGATTAACTGATCACATTGATATATTACATTGTTATCATTTTTTCGTCACACTGTCAATGCATATTCATGCATTCATTTTAAAAAAATTTAGAACGATTATTTTGATATTTTCATAATTTCTTACTTATGTCTAGATAGATTTCTTAATAAATTTTGGTGTACTGTTTGCAAAACCTATACATAAACATATACTCCTTCTGTTCCAGAAAACTCTTTATGTTTTGATTTTTTTATCAAATATTAATACTCTTTGACCAAAAATTATATACTCCGTATAATCTAAATGAATAAATATAAAAATTTTATATAACAAAAATCTATTCTAAGATAAACCAAATATACTAAATTTACACTATTATAGTTCAATATTTTTTTCTTATAATTTGTAGTCGAAGATTATCCCTATTTGACTAAAAAAGTCAAAACATGAAAAATTTTCATGGATTGAGGGAATACGAGACATCACTACTCGTTTATATTTATTTATCTCACATATATCAGCGGACATTGCGCAGTTAGCAAAGAAAATAAGTGCCAAGAAAGTAAGATTCGAGTTCAATTTCAAACAAGTGGCATCTGTGCTCGGATGTAACTTTGCTAACCATAATGTCTCCGCAAGTACAAGGTGTAGATTTATTCTTTGCCACCAAACTACAATCAAAATTCAATTTATAATCTCTCAGTGACCATCCGACCACCTGCTTTATTTACCTCACAGATCATTTACTTTTTTTAACATGTCATTTTCACCTTCAATTTTCTAAAGCCTACTATAGCCATTGCTTTACGTCTTTATGTTATCTTTTCGTTAGGGAAAATGCTAGTGGTACATCGGTGTACCCTATTTGTCCCCCACCCCTTCCATTACCACTTAAATAGGTGAGAAATTTAAAAAAAATTAAGTAAATAAAAATAAAAAATAAATGAGTGGTTATGAAGGGGGTGGTGTACAAATGCGGTACACTTTTTGGTGTACCACTAGCATCTCCCTTTCGTTAGACATGGACATGGAAGATCATCTACTACGTATTTTCTTTCTCATACGGAGTATACATTAACATTCACGAAGTATTGTACTCTTTCCATCTTATAAAAAAATTCGACATTTCTTTTTTATTGTTCAAAAAAAATTACTTTTAACTTAAAAAAATTATGGTCATTATAGTTTCTCTCAGAGTCTCAAATCTATATTTACTTCTTTCGTCCTAATTTTGTAAATTGAGAATTATGAGATAAATTTCTATGACTTTTGAAATTATTTTATTTACAAATTTATACATCAATTAAAAATATAAATTATATATTAAAAAACTACATATAAAATTCTATTAAAGAAGAGGAGACAAAAGTATTTCATTTTATTCAATAATCAATGAAAACTCACAAATAAATAAAAGTTAGCGAGAAAAAAGAGAAAATAAAATTATAATCAAAATTGATATGGGGGATATATTACTTCAAATTACACAATTTGATTTTTCTTAATCTCTGCGCTAAGTCAAAGTTTTTTTTTTAAATGGAGGGACTAATATTATGAAAATGCTTATGTGAATATTACGCAAACTACAAACTCTTATGTCAAAGTTAAGTTCTCTTAAATTATTCTAGCTATTACCCTTACTAGTTCTTCATATCAATCTAGAGATCTAGTCACTATATCATATCTTACCCTACAATAAATTAGAGACAAAATTAGAAAATAAAACAAAAACTAGACCTTCATATATACGAAGTAATTTTTTTTCTTCACATTTTAGAAAAAAAGAATGATCTAGAAGTACACCAAGATGTGGTTCTCTATTTTTCTATTTAACTTTGCCCTTTAGAAAAATAAATTGGGTTTTGTTAGAGTATCCCGACCTTTATATACCAAACTTGTCACAGACTACGCGTGCAAACATGTATTTATGTGTATCTGTAACAAACCTTGGATACAAAAGTTGGGGTACCCCAAACTCTTTTTTTCAAATAAATTACTCCATCTGTCCTACAAAACCCTTTCCGTTTCTTTTTTCATCTGTCATAAAAATACTTTGCCTTTGTTTGGATAAAAAGAAAAAATGAGTGGAAAAAAAATGGATGGAAAGAAAATAGAGAGGAAAGAAAATGAAAAGAAAATGAAAAGAGATTAATTATTGTTTGGATGGATGGAAAGTGAAGGGAAAATGAGAAGAAGAAAGAAAATGTGATAAAACAAAAAGACACATTTAACCTTACTTGATAACACTAAAATTATAAATAAAGAGGGTAAAATAGTAAGTTTGCATGTTTTCCTTCCCAACCTACGGTTTTCTCCTCCCATGTGGAAAGAAAATTTTAAGACTAATTTTTCTCTCCTTTTTCTCTTCTCCCCACCAATTCTCCTCCAACCAAACAAGATAAAACATCTTGAAATGTGTGTTTTCTCTTCATTCATTTTCTTTCATCCCAATTTCTTCTCAACCAAATAGTCTCTTAGTATTAATTCTTAACCTACATATCCGTCATAAAAACACTTCTCTTTTCTTATTAAAAAGTCGTTTTTACTCACTAATTCTTAACCTACCTATCATATCATATTTTTTCTCTATTAACTTACCCATCACATCCTACTTTATTCATCATATTAAATGACATTTTTAGAAAGTTAACACTAAAATACACTATCTTTAAATCCTTTAAAAGTGAAAATGGGAAATTTTTCAAAGGATGTAGGGAGTATCTCTAATTAAAATATACTTCCTCCGTCCCACAAAAAAGTTCCTATTTTGAATAGTATTTAGTCAAACATTTATATACTTTGATTACAAATTGTGAGAAAAGTATATTGAATTATAAAATAAATTTAATATAATTGGATTCATCTTAGGATCTAGTTTTGAAATCTCAAATTTTTTTAGCATTTCTTTATTTAGATTATTTTTAATTTATGGTCAAAGCGTGTGACTGTTTGACCAATTTATGGTCAAAATGAGAACTTTTTTGTGGGACGGAGGAAGTAAAACGGGCCAGATGATCTTCATTATTCCTAAATCCCAGAGTCCAATTTGAATTTCTTGCGACCCAGTTTACTAGTCCAAAATCAATAACCCCTCTCTCCATCCTCATTCTCACTCCCAGATCTACACGTGTTCTTCTACCCGATCTTGCATGCCACTGAGAGAGATGCGGTTTTTTTTAAGTCCTATGATGTCCTTGCTTCTGGGAGGCAGGTTCGGTCCCGAAAAATGAAAAAATAAAATTGCTCTATCCAAAATTTATATTTTAGACCCTCCGGGTTTTTGAAAATTAATTTCAAATTTAAAAATATGGGGTCTGATGGGTATATCCATATACCCGACCCGGACAACCGAAAGGGACAGGTTAAAGTATGACCGGTCACTTTTATCAATCACCAAATGAGGTTAACTCTTCGATTGGGACGGGTCAAAAATTGACCGGTCACTTCCATTAAAAAAGTGACCGGTCACATTTTGGGCGATAGCCATTTCGCCACTTAATGTTGCGAAGGATATTTCAGAGGACCAAAGAGATGGGTTGAACTCAAGAAATGACCGGGTAACCTTTGAGGAAAGGTGACCGGTCATGTTGCGCTACTTGAGAAGGGCAATCGACATCAGAGGCTAGAGGACACCCCGCCGCTCATCCATCACGAGGCAAACAGTGAAGGGAATGATTGGCGTTTTGCAGGATTGATTGGATTGAGAATATCCATGTTAGTCTTTGATTGAACAGTGCATGTCTTGGCTTGTAGTCGTTATATTCATTGATTGAATAGTAAATTGATTATGTACAGTGACCTTCCTCCGGGTTTCCCATTTTGTCCATGGATGAACAGGGGAAGGTCACAAATCCTCCTCTATAAATATGATGATATTGGATAGAGGAGGGAATGAATTCTTTCTCTCACTAAAAACTAGTACACTCTTGAGACAGAGTAAGAAATATATTTCGGACTGAGGAGATTTACCCAGTCTAGGTCATACTTTGTGTTCTTGTTGTGTGTTTTATATTACGGGTCAAGTGTCCAGGTCAAACCCGGTCAACCCACCCATCTATATTTACACCATCAGGGTCCTAAAATTTTAAGGATCCTGTGGTTCTCCACTTTGCACACCCTTGTTAGAAGTTAGATGTCCAGCTGTCATTTTGTTATTTGTCCAGTTGTCCAGCTATTTTTTTCTCCTTTTCTGTTTTTTTCATCTTCCGTTAGTTGGTTAGCATATTTGCCAAAAGGCCCCTCTCTCTTTCTGTAATAAGTAGAACAAGAACAAAGCTGCGAATAAGATTTCCTTCTTCGTTTTTCCACTGTGCGCAATTCCAACATGGTATCAGAGCAATCCGATTCTAGGTCTGATCGTTGATCGCCTTCATTCATCACGGATACAGAGATTTTCATATCTGATCGTCGACACTCCTCGTTGATTGCTATCACCAATCTATTTTCTGGTATGTCGTCTCCTACACCTAATACGACTTCTAGAACCCTAGATGTTGCGGATCCCCTCTATTTCCACCCTTCAGATCATCCTGGTTTGCTTCCTATCTCTAAACAATTTGATGGCGAAGGATTTGCATCCTGGAAGAAATCTATGTCCATAGCTTTGTCTGCCAAAAATAAATTGGATTTTGTCACAGGCAAAATTCATAAACCTGTTGATGATCTTGTTCGATTGAGTCACTGGCAGAGATGCAATGATATGGTTACATCTTGGATTCTTAATGTTCTTAGCAAGGATATTGCAGATAGTGTCCTTTATGCGAATTCTGTCATTGAATTGTGGAAGGATTTGGATGAGCGTTTTGGTCAGTCTAATGGCACCATGGTATATCAGCTGCAAACAGAGATTAGTTCTCTAAAACAAAGCAACATGGATATTGCAAGCTACTATACCAAGCTCAAGAAGAAGTGGGATGAGCTTAACGCTATTTTGCAATTGCCAAACTGCACATGTGGAGCTGTTCAAGCTTTGAGGAAGTCTGATGAAGATCAGAAACTAATTCAGTTCCTAATGGGCCTAAACTCAGATTATACCATAATACGTGGTAACTTACTGATAATGAGACCTCTTCCTACAGTTGCTCAAGCATATCAAGTGCTGATTCAAGAGGAAAAGCAACGAGGAATTCAAGTTCCCTCTCAGATTCTACCTGAACATGTTTCCTTGAATACCACCAAGACTGCCACAGGTGGTTATAAAGGCAAAACAGACACTAAAAGGGCTTTGGTCTGTGATCATTGCAAGAAACCTGGACATGTAGCCAGCAGATGCTTCAAGCTAATAGGATTTCCTAAGGATTTTAAATTCACCAAGGGGAAGAATGCTTCAGCACATTCTGTCAATGTGGAAGATTCTTTCAAATCTGCTGATGAACCAGAAAAACAACTCAATTCAGATTTCTGTCATCAATTCATGAAGTTACTAGCTACTGTCTAGTCCAATGTGAATAACCAGAGTTCCTTAATAAATTCTGCCTCTTCAGGTATTTCTTTTCCTTCTTTTAGTTGTGTTCCTATGCATTTGAGTAATCATGTGCTTTACAATACTGATTGTGTGGATTTTAGACTCTGGAGCAACAGATCATATGTGTGCTCACTCACATCTGTTCACCACCCTTTCTGATTTACCCTTTCCCCACACTGTCACCTTACCAAACAAGCAACAACTTTCCATTACTCAGTTTGGTACAGTTACACTCTTTCCCAATGTCACTTTACAAGATGTTCTATATGTTCCTCATTTTCAATACAATCTGCTGTCTATTGGGAAGTTATGTGCCCAATTAAAAGGATCTGTACAGTTTACTGAGACACAGTGTATTTTGCAGGGCCCTTCCATGAAGAGGCCACTGGTTCTTGGTAAACAAATTGGAGGTCTCTACCTGTCCCAAACTGATACAAGTTCAAAGTCTTCCAACACTTGTTCAACTCATCCTCTTGTGTTTTCTGCTCATGATATATCTCAATGTAATAAAGATTTTGTGTCTATTACTTCCTCTGCTTGTAATTCCAAAAACAAAAGTATTGATGTTGTCAAACTCTGGCATTTGAGATTAGGACATTTGCCTGCATATAAACTCAAGTCTGTGTGTCCTATTAGT